GTTCCTACATGGAAAGAGCGAATTTAGGAATGAATGTACATATGTTTCCAACCTTCATGAATACCTGAGGACATTTAAATTCTGAAATCTAAATGTAGTCTTGTCCCTCTTGCAGGGAGTCAGTGGAAAAGATGGTGATCCAGGGCCTGCTGGGGAGAAGGGAGACAAGGTGAGGATAAGAATCATTATAATGTGGCCAAAGAAATCCAAGGTACTATGCTGACTATAATAAGGTCACCTGTAAACTCATCAAACTCTCATGCCACAGCTGATCCCACAAAGTCATGCGTTGATTTACCCAGTACACTTTGATTATTGCTGAGTTATATTCTCTAGGTGATTGTGCAGGACACCGGCCTAGATCTGCTCCTGCTTGTCTGTTTTCTCCACCATGTTTTATACAAGCCCTCTCTGATTCCCCTTGAACAGGGCTCTGTTAGCAAACTAAATAATCACACAACACCAAGAGTTACTGAGGTGACCCTGTAGACTAATAAAGCTAAGAGGCTTGGTGTAAACAATTCTGCGCACAAACCAGGAACTACAGTCCTTTTGTGCCGCTGCTGTAGTTAAAGTGATTTCATGATATTTTATTTGTACCACAGGGAGAGCCTGGAGTTAATGGGCAACCAGGACAGAAGGTAAGATCTGATAATGTCACTGCAGTGAACCACAGTCACTGGCATTGCACTTAATGTGGTTTTTATATACTATATTTTAATCTTATTTTATGGGGTGTAAAATATCTACCCAACTTTTAACAGTCAGTTTGGTGATGATGCAATGAACATTTTGAACTTGTCATCTGTCTCTCCCAGGGAGATCAGGGACCCCCAGGGTTCCCAGGCCTTCCAGGGTCAGAGGGTCCAGAAGGGCAGCCTGGTCCCAGGGGTCCCCCTGGGCCCCCAGGCCCCCCAGGAAGAAGCTTCAACGTTGACTTTGAGGTGCAGCCTCTTTTACCACTTAATGCCTGGGCTACTTACAATATAATTCATCTGACAGCATTAGAGCTACATCATATCCAGAGGTGTCTCTATATTTGTCCTCCCCAGCTACATACATGAGAGGGTCAGAATATTAGGAACACCTCTGAATATAATGTAGTCCAGTACAACACCACCTTTAATTATTGCATGAATAATAAACATAAAAAAACATTTTGAGCTTCTTAAACACAAATGTTAAGACAGACGTTTGACACTGACGTGTATACAGTTGTACAGGTGTGCCTAATAAAGTGGCTGAGTGTAGTTTGCAACATGTGCCGCCACAAACTGTTCAGTCATCAATATGCAGTTTCAAATGAATCAGCTTTTTAGCCAAAATGTATTGTATCGCAGTAGGATATGGTGCTTCTATTGATTTTATTGCAATAGATTTTTGAGACAGTTCATATTAGAAATTCAGTTTGATCATGATGCATTTCTGTTTTTTGTACTTTGTTAGGACTTGGAAGGATCTGGGATGCAGAGTGGTTTCGGACCAGTATTGTCTCGAGGCGCACAGGTACAAATGCACTGTGTTAACATGAAGAGCACTGTACCTCAAAATACTTTTGTCATAATATGGTGCAATTTCCTCATAACTTCGGCTGCTGTTTCTCTCACCTCTGATCAGTTCACTTGTATTTTTAGGGCCCTCCAGGAAGCCCTGGACTTCAAGGACCCAAAGTAAGATATTTATGAGAAATATTAGTCAAATAAAGCAAACTAGGTTCAATTACTTTGTCTAAAACCTGGTTTAGTTCTTTTATTATACTTGGTTTAATAGTAATGTAAGGGTTTGGATTTCATATGCAGTGGCTATAGTTAAATTGGAGTAAAGGAACACAAACACTTAATTCAGTAAGAGCATTTACTGAATATTTTCACATCTTCCCAGGAAAACCTGGACAAAAGGTGAGTCTTTTTTTGAGAACGGGGCTTGTGTGGATCTTTTTCCTTTGTGCCCACTTTCACTCAGAATGACATACAGTACAACTGGACAATCATATTGCTTCTGTTCAGTCTGGGCTCAGTTTTCCTAGAGCAGCAACATCCCATGGATCATGAACCTGGACATGGCCACGACTTCTCTCCCCATTTAAACAGGCTGAATGATTGGTTATAAGATTGAAAACACTGGTGATGCTAATTGAGAACAATTCTTGAAATCTCTCTTCAATCCACCTACCACCACACCTAAGGGGTACCAGTATTTTTGCTAAGGCATTTAAGATGCTCTTTTTTTAGAATAAGCAAGAATTTCAGTTTTGTCACAGCATCTTTGTTTTATTCTGTGGCAAACATTGCATGTAGGTATACGTACATGACAAGAGTTTTCCAGGAAGGTGCAAGGATGCCAGCATCTTCCTATATCAGGGACTCTTTCATTTTATGTTCCAGTCAGAACTCTAAGATCTTCCTCTGCCCTTGTTGAAGACGTTCCTGAGGTGTACCGTGAGGTTATTTTCTGATCTGTTTCAGAAAGCTCCTTTGGGGTTTTAGAAAAGAAAATAAAGACCTATCTTTTCACTTTGGCTTTTAATTTATTATTTTTAATTTATTATGGTTCTTTTAATTGTGGCTTGAGTTTTGTTTTTACTCTGTTAAGCCCATTGGACTGCATCTTTGTATCAACAAATAGAGCTGTTATCATTATTAGAATTAGTGAATCTTGCAAAGATGAGTTTAAAAGGGGAGAGAGGGGAGGTCAGAAATCAACTCACTGTTTTAATTTTTATGCAATTTACATACACTTTCGGTCAGAAGTTTGGACACACATTCCTACTTAATTAAATGGGAAAGTGTGTCTGAACATTTGACTGGTCGTGTATGAATCTTGGACATACATTTTACTACTATGGAAATTGAGCAGATACTTCTGTTATAGTGGTGATATCAGGGGCATGATGGAAGTTTCTTTGTGGTTTTTGCAGGGAGAGCCTGGTGTTACAGGGCCACCAGGGCTTCCAGGACTGGATGGACTCAAAGGAGCAGAGGTCAGTAAAGGGATCAACTGATCAGACACATGAATGGGTTAAGGATGTTAGTAAAATGTCAGCTGTTAGAAACAGTACAGACGTGTTGCTACTGGCTCCAGCAGTGTCTTTCTCTGAAATGAGTAACTGGTAAGCCAGTTTAAATACTCAAACACATGGATGGATCCCTTAATACATCTGTAAAATGTCTTGTTATTTATATTCACCTGTCAGTGAGAAAGACACATTACACCCAATTCTTAATACATGGCTTAATGTATCATTCTCAACCGTATGGAGACAGACAAAAACATACAGACAGGATAAAAGTACTGTATATATCTGTGGAGGAAGTTAGAACTGACAAAAATGACAGGATGTTCACCTTTTCTGTTTTATTCTGTGTCATCTGCAGGGACCGAAGGGGGGTAAAGGTGATCCAGGACAAAAGGTAAAACCATCAAGGAGCTGGCTATCTGACATCTGTTATCTGGCAAACATTCAAGGACACACAAACTCACAGATTCACTCAGTAAACCTGCAGTCTAATGTGTAGTGATCCTCTAGAGTTACGAGGAGCATCTTCTTTCTTTGATTTCTAATGTGTGTTTCTTTACAGTGGACACCTGAGATAGTGAAAATGTGTTTGTGTTCAGATTTGATTGAATTATAGTTGATTTTTGGCACAGAATGTGGCAATCAGGCACTAAGGGGTTTAAAGTAGCCTAAGCTATGGACTATAATTGTGGCTATGTTGATACTGTATACACAAAACATATACATGCAAACTGTAAAATAAGGTTTTGATTTGTGAAGGGAGTTGCATTTTGTGAGTTTAAGATGTTTTTGGTACAAAATGTGACTGTTAATATTGATAACTGGCTGATTACACAAAGCAGTCAGCTTATTCAGCTGGTTTGGAAATCAGTTTGTTTTGATACAATTTGACTAGTTGTACAAGACACGAGAAGCTCTGTTACACTCATGTTTGGAGACCCCTGAATTAGGCATTCAGTGCATTATGTGTTGCTGCTTACTAAAATACTAAAATGTCCACTGTGGTTTTTAGGGAGAGGCAGGGCGGGATGGATTCAGTCTAACTGGCCCTCCAGGACCACCTGGACCACCAGGACCCATTTTCAATCTCCAGGATGTAAGCAGAACCTGATCACAGCCATTCAAGACTCAGGCCAGATGAAACATTCCAGTGTTAGCACAACATGATTATTTCCAAACATGTCTAGGCTTTCAACCAGTTTTACTACTAAACTACTGCTTAGGATACATGCGCTGATCACACATACTTGTACTTGGGTTTTAAGATGACGATGACCTTGAACAAACTGCACTGTAATATCACAGAGTGATAAAGCTGTCAAGTCTGGTTCTTTATACTTAAAAAGCCCCCCACCATCTCTTCTCCAGCTTCTCCTTAATGCTACAGATGGTGCCTTCAACTTCTCAGGGATTTTTGAAGCTCAAGGACCTGCTGTGAGTATCAAATATCCATCCATTGTAAACTAAATTATCCTGAAGTTATGACATCAAAACGAACAGAAGTAGAGTAAATGGCATCAATAGGACAGCATGTAGAGAAATTATCTTCACTTGACTTGATTCCTGTCATGATGGAGTTCAGCATTTAGTTATGGCTGCATTTTTTTAAAATGATTTCAGGGACCACAGGGTCCAAAGGGTGATGCTGGGTTGCCAGGTATTCAAGGACCTACAGGACTGAAAGTAAGTGGGGCATGCACACACTGAGAGCACTGTGAATTCAGCGTAGGTTTGTGTGCATGCATATACTCTAGCTTTTCTCTGTCTACATAAGATTTGTTGGTGTTTTTCTGTGTACTCTGTATGCAGGGTGAAAAGGGTGAGCCAGGGGGTTTCATCGCCACAGATGGAACTATGATGTCACATCTGGCTGGTCCAATAGGACCCAAAGGAGTCAAGGTTATGTTTGCTGTCACAGTTTACACTTCTTAGATCTCAATTTTCCTGACTCTTTGCTGTTAAGATGTTTACTTAGAATTTCTCAGAATATGTAGTGCATGTGATATTGTCATGATGTGAGTGCAAGCTTATTTTGAAATCATAATCTCAAGCATTTTCTTTGGAACTGTATGTAAATGTACTCTTTGTTTGCAGGGGGATAATGGTGTACCTGGGCTTCCTGGAATTCCAGTAAGTATTTCCAGCTACAAAAGAAAAGGAATTTCCTTTCCATGTTTTATCAAACCACTAACTTCAGTTGTGTTCGCTCCTATCAGTGAAGGTTACAGTAGATACATTTAAGAAATCACTTGCTGATTCCAACAGGGACCAGTGGGACCACCAGGACACAAGGGAGAGTTTGGATTTCCTGGAAGACCAGTAAGCACCATGAACTCAAACATTCCCTATTAGATTAAAAGGGCACCCAGACACATACTGACACCACATTTTAAGTAGATTTCGGCTTCTATCAAAATAAATTTTCTATGTCCCTTTAAATTAAGAATTGTTTGTCCTCTGCTACATATAAAAAAAGCTTTAAGTTCAATACACCTACATTATAGTGGGGTTTACTTTGTCGGCCAACAATCTACTCACATTTCACTATGTGCATCATTAAACTTGAATCCAATCTAGCTTCCCATTACTGTAGTTGTAATTTGGATGCATTTGGATAATGTCTTAATCTGTGTAGGGTCGTCCAGGTGCAATGGGGCCTAAAGGAGAGAGGGGGGACTCTGTTTGGTTTCCGGTAGGTAATGCATGACAGTGGAATTAAGAACATGAAAAAAACGACAACAGTTACAAAGATACTGGATAATAATCTACTTTAATAGCACCAAGTTTTCCCAGTTTAGTCACTAAAATTGTCAAACAGCTCCAGTTAATTTTTTTTTGTTTCCATATTTTGTTTTATTGTCATCTTCGTCCACTCTTCTAAGGGCCCTCCTGGCCCTCCTGGACCACCAGGCCGACCAGGAATGTTCAACTGTCCCAAAGGAGTAAGCACATAAACACACGTGTTCATGAACTCACTGTTCTGACTCAGTTCTTCTCACTCATTGCTTGTTTTGTCTGCTATGTGCTCACTATGCTCTCTCCTCCCCTGGGTTCTGAAGACGGTGTTCCCTATCCCTCCCAGACCGCACTGCAAAATGGCTGTAAGTTTCCTGTTAAACAGCAATATTGCTTTTAAAAGATATTGTACTAAAAGCTTTTATTAGACCAATGTTTCAGAGAACTTTATTCTTGATTGTTTTTTTTTAGTAAATTCCCACTGATTTGTGATGAGAAATCATCAGTTTTCAGTGCAATTTCATTACATGACATTGTCTTTATCAGTATCGTACTTCAAACCTGTTGATTTATCGTTATTGCCATTCAGGACCCTCTCCTACTTACACTCATCCTGCCTTTTCCACACATTCCCTCTGTTCTGTCTTTGTATGGAGCTAGTGCATGTTGTTCTGTGTAACACTGGTATTACCCGAACCTGTATCATTCAGAGCATTTCAAGGATGGTTCCAACATATTCCCGCATGCTGCATGTCCAGACTGGGGAGGTGAAGGCTCAGAGCCAAAAACAATATGAGGTGAAGATGCATTGTGCATCCATCAGTAGAGACTCTGCATGTTCCATTTGCTTGTAATATTATCAATGGATTATTTTTACGTGATAATAGAATGTGTTTTGATTCTGAAAAGTGATGGTTATTTACAAGTTCAGCCAACAGTGACAGCTGTTAATGTTTGTGCTCCATTATTTCAGCTTAATCACAGTGGAACCATCACAGTTGGTAGGTTGGATCTTCTTTTATGTTTCCATTCATTCTAACTGCTTTTATCAGAAATATTTCTACATAGAGCAACTTTAAATACTTGTAATATGTATTTATTTATTTATATACAGTAAACCCACCCCTAATATCATCCAGTCAAAAATAAGGATAAGCAATTGATTTATCGCTTTTTATCTCCAAGGGAACTGTCAGACAGGAGTAAAAGGAGAAAAGGGAGAGAGGGGCGTGCCTGGGATGCCAGCTCCAAGTGAGTAATAGCTGAAGAAAGGATTTGCTCAAATTAAGAATGTTTAATAAAATGCAAATAATAAATACCCTCATGGAGAGAAGTGTATGAAAACAAGACTATAGAATGCTTACTGATATTTTTAATGCAAACACTCCACTGTGATTAACTAGTTTAAGAATATTTCTGGACATCTGTACTGGTTATAATTACTTATTATAATTCCACCTATATTCTCTTTTCTAGTCACATTTCTTCCCAGAGGAGGCCGGGTAGGTTTTAGATGCATTTTTGTTTTGGTTTGGGAAAATGCTGGCCTTGTGTGCGCCATGAGGCTCAAGTTTTGTGTATGTGTTTGTGCATGTAATAGCAGGGGGAAAGAGGCGACCAGGGTATTAAAGGGGAGAAGGGAGACAAGGGGGAGGCAGGGTTGCCGGGTGTTCCAGGGAAGCCAGGACTTGTGGTGAGTTCCATGGATACACAACCATGTTATTTTTCTAACCAAAAAAATGTTCTAAAGCATTTGGTGACTACTTCTCGACATGTTTCAGGGACCCAAAGGACAGTCGGTGCTCGGTCCTGCAGGGCACCCTGGGATGCCAGGCACACCTGGCATCCCAGGCTATGGGAGGGCAGGTCCTGTGGGTCCTCCTGGGCCACCAGGGCCTCCAGGCCGCCCAGGCTCACCATCAAGATACAGCTCAGGTATAACTCATCAATCAAATGTCAAATAACTCAAATAAGTGTTGTAAAATTTAATATAGGACCATATGTGCATACAGTTCTTACATTTGTTCAGATCAAACCACTTTTGGCATTTTTATAGCAGCTCTGACCATCTCTGGACCCCCCGGGCCTCCTGGACCACCCGGACCTGCTGGATCACCGAGTAGCACAGCATCTGTGAGTTGTTTCCGCTGGCCACATACAACATGAATCCATTTAAGTGTTAAACCACTGTGCCATAAACTGCTGCTGATTACATTAACAAGTGTAACAACTGTGGTTGTAGGTCATGCTTAATCAGGGAAGTTTGAGGTGAAAGTTCTTCCTGTCTGTAGTTCTTAATTTATTGTCCACTCAGTAGCTTTTCCAGAGCTTTTGATCATATCACACAGCCTGGTCCATCAGCTGTAACTGGACTTCTCTGCATTTGTTTTTCAGCTGAAGACATTTTCAACCCGTGACAGTATGATGCAGCACACGCTGAGGGACACAGAGGGAACTTTGGCATATGTCACAACGACAGGAAGTCTCTTCCTCAAGGTTTCCCAAGGATGGAAAGAGATACAGGTACTGACTTGAGGTCAGGTGAAGGCTCAACTGCTGTAGCAAATAAAATTGTGTGTAATTGGTTTCTTTTTTAACTTGGAAGTTTTGTCAGAAGAGCATTGACTGAGCTTCATAATTTGCTTTTGGCACTCTAAAACATTCAGCAGGCACACTGAAGTTTTGTAAATAAGTGCAGTAGATTCTGTGTCAGATTTCCTGGACAGTGTGTATCACTGCTCTTAACATCACTACTGGTTACTGGAAACATTGCTGAAGGCCAAATAGCAGTTTGGTAGTGTTTGATAAAATGCTGTCCACCGATAAAAATCTAGAAGAACTTTGGAAAGTCACTCAATCACATGTTTATTACTTATTTAGCTTAATACAAGATCTGTTCATCAACTGAAAGCAAATGCATGTCCAAGTTTTATAGTGTAACAAATGTAATGATTATCCACAGTTAATAGTTCTTGATATATCAGGTGTTTTGGTAGTATATGCAACCTAAACACACAGCATCTGGAATCTGATTGACATTGTCTTGATTTTTGTTTTGTTCTTAAAGCTTGGAAATCTGATCTACCTCTCCAGTAACATCATACCACAAGATGAGGTAGTCATTTTTCTCAGTAACAATTCTATTATAGAATGTTTTATTATATTATATTTATTATTTAGTATTTAACATCTCTTCTGAACTATTCTTTTAGCCTCGAGTTGCATATCACATAGGAGGAAACACAATGGAAAGAATAACTTCAGTTAAACAGAGGGTGAGTTTAAATTACACTGTCTTACAGTATCTTGTCTTAACTGTCAACACTGGAATAATGGATAATATACAAGAGTTTGAGATGAGATATTAGATATACTAACTTTTAATGATTCATATTCTTATATTAAAGAATCAAGGACAGTAGTTACAGTACTGTATGTTTTTCTGCATATCTGACTCAGTTATTCAGCTTACCAAATGTGCCTGGACTATGGTGTTTGACTATTGTGTGTAAATAATATTTTGCCACAAATAATAAACCTAACAGCCAATAAGACCAACATTTACGGTATTTGGCAGTGTTAACAGCAAGTTGGTCTTAGTTACACAGGAGTCCTCTGGCATCTTGTGAGGGCCTTAATGACTTGTGGCAATCCAGACACCCAGACAAATGCTGAACTGGTTCCTCTCCCTTCCAGCTCAACTTGGTGGCCTTGAACCAGCCCCACTCAGGGGACATGATGGGGCTTGACATGGCTGACCGGATGTGTTATGAGCAGGCCAAGGCAATGGGGTTGGCTCCAAACTACCGTGCCTTCATTTCATCCCACAAACAAGACTTGGTCTATGTGGTCTATCCTGGAATTCGGGAAACTCTGCCAGTAACCAACCTCAGGGTGAGTGTGCTCCCCTGCTGTTTTTTTTAAGAGTCAAAAGCTATTTTCTCTACCTGTATCTAGCCCAATATCTCTCCTTGTAGGGAGACGTGATGTTTAGGAACTGGCAGTCAATTTTCAATGGCGATGGAGGGACTATCAACACCAGGATACCCATCTACTCCTTTGATGGCCGGGATGTTTTAGCTGACCCATTCTGGTCAGTAAACTTTCATGGCTGTTTACTTGTTTTTTATTTCCTTTTGTCTATGGTGCTGACATTTTCTGTCCTTTGTCTGTCAGGCCTCAGAAGAGCATCTGGCATGGCTCCACCAGCACGGGTCTCAGAGCTATGGACAAACACTGTGAGACGTGGCAGACAGACCACGTGTCTGTCACAGGCCAGTCATCTAGCCTGATCTCAGGTCTGCTCCTGGGCCAGCAGACACGGAGCTGTTCCAACGAACACATTGTCCTTTGTATTGAGACCCACAAAAACCCTTAAATCTGCACTGATTCATTAATGATGAATGCACCAACTTTAACTTTTATTCAAGAAAAGTGGACTCAATTCCAACGGGTTACATTGTAATTTAGCCCACTGTACAAAAATCTAACTTACAGTAACACAAATGGCTTCAGAGTCACCCGGGTATGTTAATAATAAGATGTCTCTTCAATGTTCAAAAGATTTTAAAAGCAGAGACCGAGGGTGCATGGATGCAGGAATGTGCACTAGTCCTCAAACATAAGTTTGTGTAAGTTACAGATTTCCAAAGAGAAATTGTCTATTTTTATTGTTTTCTTTACAGATTGTCATTTAAGCTTTTAAGACATTTTTAGGAATTTTACTAAATATTTCATGGACCAGAACTTTCCACAACGTACTTTGTCCCTCGTCCAACAGGACAACCTGACAACCAGTGTTGCCACCCTAATTTTTGATGCACTGTAATTCTTTTTTTTTCTTTCATTAACATTATCTTTGAATGTGTTTTAATGTTGTAGCTTTTCATAAATCTTGGTGATCTCACTCCTTTGCAGCGCTGTCTCTTAAAAGGGTATTTAATTTAAATTCAATGATTTATTTATACTGTCACAGCACATAACATGAAATGGATTAAATTTAAGAATGTAATATGTTTGTCAAATGAAACCTTCTCATTTGCCTCTTCTATTTTTTTGTACTTTTTTTTTTTTTTAAAGTTATACAGTTTTGGAGAATGTTAAGTCAAAATGAATGTTTCGCTAGGATAGAGATACAATTGAAGGAGAAAAATGTTGATGCTGAAATACATAAAAAAAATCCTAGGGCAAAGGTGAGAGCACATGTTTTTGTATAAATATAGGTGCTAAATTTAATAAAAATTCTTTTCATAATCTGTTCTGGTTTCATCTCAGCACAATGCAGCAAATAACTGCAGTACTTCTGACTGTAGGTAATAATGCCAAATTTCAATTAACAATTAATATCCTCCCATTTGGGGGGCATTTGAGAGAACTATATATTTGAAAGGTATTTACCTTTTTGTTTTGTCTACTTTTTTGCATGTTTATTTTTAATTTATAGTTAAAACAGTTTTTCCTGAACATCCATATATAACAAGCATCTTTTACGTCATTGTCCAATGAAGTATTTACGTTTTGAGTTGTACACTTCAAAATAGGTTATGTGCTGTTTTAACTTCTAAGCAAACATTTAACATCACGTCCCTTACATTCCTGGAATGCTTGACTATTGTTTAAAATACAGATGTTAATAAATGTTTTGCATAATATAGTGCTATAAAAATGAAGAATTAGCTGAAGCTAACATACGCAAAAATGGGTCAATTAAATAAGATGAGAATTTTAAACCAATTTGAAAGAAGTGTCACTACAGAAGTTACCTTATTGAATCTTTCTGGGTCTTTCTGATGAATGTGATTTGTGAAAAACTAATTGATCTTGTGAGGGCAATTGTGATGCTTTTATTCTGCAGAAGGAATCCCGGAAGATTTGTAAGCAACAACAAATACCCAGCGGCCCATTCTTACTTGGCTGTCTACAATGAATGCCAAACAATACAAAGCGAAATACAAAGATAAATAGTAACACAATCTAAAGACACTTTAAAAACAGCAAGTGAAAAGAAATATAATAAAAAAATATATGAATATAATAAAGAGAAAACATATGCTGCACCAGAAGCTGCATGTGCAACACTCAGCAATGAATGTGCAATTATGCATGTGAAAACTGAGCATGTGGAATTACAAGAAGTAATTCCTGATCATAAGCTCCTGTCAGCTGTTTAGGAGCCTGATGGCAGTTGGAAAGAAAAAGCTTTTCAGTCTAGAGGTCCTGCATTTCAAGCTCCTGTACCTCTGGCCTGAAGGTAGAGGTGTAAACAGTTCATGCTGGGGTCCTTGAAGATGTAGACTCTGCGGTGGGGAGGCGACAGTGACGCGGTGGGTAGAGCAGTCACAGTGACGTGCGGTCAGGGGAGGCA